GAATCATTCTTTCCTTTGTAGTTATAAAATGAAAAGGAAAAAGTAATTTAGTGGCTCACATGAGCTTTCTAGACATGCCATCCTGATGACATGGGTAGGTAGGTAGTACCCTCACAGAGGGATCAGGGCTTTGCGGTCAGAGCAAAAACAGAACCAAGGTAAAGTCTGGGTATGTTTTGTGCAGTCCAAGATGATTTTCTGCTGTAAATTTCTGTGCAAATTTCTCTTGGACATAATTAGAAGCTAATGAAGTCGATTAGCCTATCTTAATTTCAGCTGTAGAATGTATTAGTAAAGAAAAGGTGATATATTCTGTTGATTATACAGTTTTGAGATGAACTGTAAATCCTTGGGCAGCTCTCTCTCAGGTTAATAGCCTCACTGAGACTCCGATTCAATTAAGACGAACATGAAAATTTGCTTTAGTTTTTTTTTAAATACATGTTTTTTAGATAATTTATTTTAAAAACAATGTTTCAGATATAATGCTAAGATTATTAAAACTGCCTCAATACAATTGGATAGTAATGAAACCTGTATCTTGTGAAAGGATATTCTAAGTTAGAACATATAACGTGAATGTTCAGTGTCAAGTAGTGCTGAGGATGGAAGTCATCTAGTGGATTAATATGATTTATCTGGATTATATTATCACACACTTAGTTTATGGCAATTTCTGGTAAAGCAGCTTGGATTCTGTCTACTTTTCCACTGCTGATGTAATAGGGTTGTTTACTCAAAGCTGTTGGCTACCTGCAATTTTAGTGGAATTTTGGAGGAAAACAAAAGACGTGTTTGCTGAGATTATTTAGTAACTTCATACTGAGACATCCTAAAATCTAATTCTGAATACTTTTACTTTGGAGGCGAGACTGTTGAAAATATCGTCTAAATGTTAATTAACTTTCATAATGACTCCATTGTTTTTTATCATGAAGAACTATTATACTTGAGGTGATTTGATCTCTTAATCAAAAGCATATTTTCACATGAGATTTTATTTATCTTCACTGATGATATGTCACAAGCAAAATAAAAATGAATAGTGTTTTCAATTGAATAGGAATTCACACAGAAAAGTAATATCATAGGCCATAAAATATATCTCAATTCAAGTGAGATGTTTTATTATTCAGTGTTAGAGAGGGAATAGTATGTAGACTTGACAAACAGTGTAGCAGTAATGCCACCCATATTTAATAAAAAAGAATATATTTAGGAAAGTGAAGAATATATGTGCTTTCCTTAGTGTGTCTGTTGTAGAAGTTATCTTGCATAAATTCTCTGTTGCTTAGTGGGAAAGCAGTTAGCTTTGTACCTGAAATGAAAATAATCTGCTTGGTGCAAACAAACTAAATATAGTGAAGTATATGCCCCTGCCTATAAATATAGCCCAATGAAATATTCTTATATTTTGTTTGATGGTTTGTTTTTCTAAAGGTGAATCCTTAGGCAGCTCATTTAAATGAGACTACAGAAGGACAGATTTTGGGTAGAATTTCCCAAAAGCTGTGGCTGTACAAATCCTTGATGAAGGTTGATATAATAAAGACTTTCTGGCAAACTTTCTCCTAGTATATCAAATTTTGGAAGTTAAACCCTAGTAGTGAGAATGCTCTCCTTTGCAGCACTTGAGGTTTTCCTTCGTGGGGCTCAAGTATTTTGAATTTCTGGTGTTCCTGTAGTTAACTTTTCTGTAAGGCTATGAAATTGTACAATATTGTTAGAAATCTATGAATGCAAAGTTATTCTGTCTTCAGAAAAGAGCTTGTGGTACATGGGAAAAAATGAAATTCAATATAAGTAAACTCTCTGGGTGCTTCCTATGGCTTAAAGCAATTTAGAGTACTTTGAAGATGCTACTAAATAAAATTAGTACGTAATTTTCTGTTGGAAACAAGGGTCTTGTTTTCATAATTTTGTCTATAGTGCACATAGTTTAGATTTGTCTTGCTTTGCACTTGCATTGCTCCTCTGAGAATCCTGCGGCACTTCTTAGAAGAGGAGTAGCTCCTTCCGACAGGCAGATGAGTCTGGTGGTATCGTGATATGTGGCTCTCTTGAGCTCATAGCAGACTATTTTGCAGTTTTCTCTCCAAATTTACTCTAATCAGTTTTCCTGATACTACCAAGAGACACCAAATCAGAGAGCTAAAAGACACATCGTGTGTACTTTTTGACTGCAGTGACATGTAAATTGCTAGCTCAGTAAAATGCAGTGTCATAGTTCAGTCTGGATGATTTGTCAGAGATGAAAATCAAATGTCACTGTCTCTTGCTAAACTAATTGACATGACAGGAAACACAGCAGCCATAGCTGCTTAATTGCATTTCAATGCATAAAGTATGCAGTGCATTGCAATGCAATATATAAATCATTGTGTAGAAACCATGTAAACGCTGAATTCTGGCAGTGCTAAGGAGACACAAATTCATGGATCTGTCACCGAGATACTAAGCAGCTGCTCACTATGGATATCATATTATCAGTAGTAAGAAGCTCAGTGTCTAGGCATCAAACTCTGCTGACAGTTGTTTGGTTTTCAGCGTGCAAGTCTATTGCTTGGTTCAGAAAAGACTGTTTTTTCTAGAAACAGTATTGCAGAAGATAAACAGCCCATGATTGATTAGTTGTAAAGTGAGATTTTCTCATAATTAATTCTGAGATGGTTATTGAACAATAAATGAAGAGCTTACATTTTGGAGTCTTTCTTTTTGCAAAAAGTCATAAACTTCAGATAATACAATTACCATCTTACCAGCTAAGTTTTGAGGCACAGTTACTAGGAATTTTTTTTTTGTGGACTTGAAGCCAGCTTGAGATAGTGTATTCGAAAGAGTTTGAGCAGCTGTGTTGTATACGAAGAGCTAACAGACATGAAGTGATGCTGTGAATCAGTCTTCTTCTGCTTAATGTAGAAGAAAAGGGGCTACATGTTAAATGTTATGCTCAAATGGGAATATTCTTATGCTTTGAAAAATATATATATATACACACACATCTGGCTTCATTAGACTCACCGTCATTGTGAGCCTTCATGACATTTACCTCACTTACTGCCTTAGTTCTTTTTTGCCTGTAGAAAGCAGCCAGCAAGATACAGTTCACAATTGGCTTGTGAGTAAGTCTAGCTAAGGCCTGTTATCTCAACTTTTTAGTTAAAAGTAGATGAAAAATATGCAGTTTTGGTTTAAGAGAAGTTTTTTGGGAGGATATTAATGGAATGAAAGAATACAGACATGAGTGTCAGTTTTTAGGCTGCTTTTTTCAGCTCAGTGTCTTCGCAGTCATTGATTGAGAACTTGGCCGGAGGTAACAGGTCTATTTATCTAAGTTTGCTAAATTTGTAATTAACTTTGTTGCTCTTCTGTTCATTTTGGATATGTGGAATAAAGAGAGGAAAGAATAGAATTGACCTTGTAGTGGTGAGGAAAAGAGAAGGAACTTTTTCTTTGACCGGGATGGAATGGGAGTACATTTTCTCTTGCCTAAATCTTTATATCTATATCTAGAATCAATAATTTTACTAAATGTCTCTGTTTTACTAAAGTCTCTGTAAACAGTGGAATGATAAGGACAGCTGTAAAAAATGATACTGCCTTGTCTATCTCTCTTAAGCAGTATTTGTATCTTTAATTAGAAACACATGTTTCTTCACATTCCCAGAGTTGAAAAATACTTGATTTTGCTTCTTAGCAATTTTATCTATGCTAGGACAATTTCGTGCCATGTATTTCAAGCCTTCAGAGTAACTGATGACTGTGTCCCTTATTTACACTGATTAAGTGTTTATTTGTGTGTGTGTCTTGTAAATAGTGTGTGCATCCAGCGTTTCTCCCGGGTAGCGGTGTACACAGGCCCGGGGAGCCCAAAGTTTGGCTTCATGTGACACTTGGCCAGTTGTGATCGCTGCCTTGCGCCAGGCTCTGCAGCGGGGCTGGTTCTGCCTCCTCTGCGGGTGTCCTCGAAGTCTCCAACAGCCTCAGGCGGGAGCCGGGCAGCCTGGTGGGCCCCATCTTGCCACGCGCTGTGGTCCTCCTTCTCTTCCTCCCTTTCTTCACAGCCCTTTGGGCACCAGCTCATTAAAGAGAGGAGATATCTGTGTGTTTGGTTGGATGGCTGTCATTAGAATAGAAGGAAATTCCCATGTTCATAGCAAGATTTGGATACTTTTATTCTTTGCAGTGTTGCCATTAGGTAAGTGGATGCTCAGTCTCTAAGCGCCAAGTACCTCAGAATGACTTCAGTGCCACTTGTAGCTCTGCGTTGTCATCTGGAACTCCCATTTCATCTGAGATTTTTGTTTTTTTCCTTCCCTATTAAGGAATGAGTTGCAGCTTTCAGTAATAGGTTTTCCTTCATTTATAGCTTATAATTTACGTTTTGGTATCTTGGAACATCTTTTTAAAAATAATCAATTTCAGAGAGTAGTGTGATCTTTCTTAAAACTGTTATTTTAAGGAATAAATCCCCAACTGCAGTCGCAGATGAAAGCTAGGGCCAGTTGATGACAAATGGCTTTAGCTGGAACAGCAAGCCTGTTCCTGGAATGCACTGTGTTTGACTCTGAACTCCAGCACGGTGACTTGGCTTTTCTTTTAGCTGTACCAGGGCTCTGAATTTATATAAGGCACTGCATGACACATTTGTTTTTCTTCCTCCTCTTCCCCTTGTAGGCTCTCCCCTTTTTTTTTTTTTTTTTACTGAGGAATAGAGAGAGAAGTATGTTCTGCATATGTGCTGTGTATTGGTACATACAGATTATTCTTTAGGAATGAAATGCAATATCTCAGGACAACAGTGGAGCAATTGCTGTGGCTCAACCCGTAGCTACCAGTTGCTACGGTTTATGCTGTGATATGTTTTTGTAAAGAAGACTCATACATTGTCTTATTGGCAGTATGTGACTAGGTGCCTGGTCCTGAAGTAAGTACTGCAGGACAGTGATGAAGCACAAGAGTAAGATATGTAGTTGGGGGCTTTCTTTTATGTTGGGGGGATGCTCTTGAGGTGCTCTGATAGAAACATCTCCAAAATACTTTTCATTAATGGCCTGCATCGGCACACAGAAAGGCTGCAATCTCCTGATACTGTAAGTGTCTACTCAAATGGTTAATTGTGCACTCTAAATGGTCCTGTTGCAGTAACTAGGGTTACTTCATCTGTAAAATTAAGCATAAGACTAAGACTCTGTAGCACAGAAACTTAGGAGACCTACCACTGTTTCAGTGCCCAGGGGAAAGTTAACAGACTCTTCAGAGATTTTCATTTAGAGAAGTGCTTGGATGGGTAGCAGCAGTTTGAGACACAAGGCCTGATCCAGAACTGCCACTTGCCACATAAAACACTGAATACTGGTGAGACCATGCAAAAGAAAATCATATGTTCAAATCTTCCCGTTTCCTAGAACACCCAGGCTTACAAAGTACTGGAGTAATTTCAGACAGTTAAACATCTATATTTAATCTTTCTTAGTTTTTAAATACTAAAACGGGAACATCCGAGCTATTCAAAGAATATCAATGCTCCAACTGATTGGTATTCTGATTTGTGTTATTGAATATAAGCAAGTTCAGTATACATGTACTAGAGGGATGAAGGGGAGGATTCTGAACTGAAATGTTTGCCTTTAAGAATGGTCTAACAATAGATAAGTGTGTTTTTGCTTTTTCCGTGTATATATATTGTCTGTTTCAATGCAAACTTTTGTTTGTTTTTTATAATCACAGGACTATACCTTGACAATGTACTTTCAGCAAGCGTGGAGAGATAAGAGGCTGTCGTATAATGTAATACCTCTAAACCTTACTCTGGACAATAGAGTAGCAGATCAGCTCTGGGTTCCTGATACCTATTTTCTGAATGACAAGAAGTCATTTGTACATGGTGTCACTGTGAAGAACAGAATGATCCGTTTGCATCCGGATGGGACAGTCCTGTATGGACTCAGGTCAGTACGAAACATTTCTAACTCCTCTGTTGTTGTTTTTTATTTCTGTTTTCTTCAGTTTTTCAACCATGGCTTCAGTTAAAACCCAGCCTTTGTTTTATTTTTCTTTTCTTGCATTGCTATTCAGCCTAACTGATGATATGCCGGAAACAATTTCAACTTACGTATTTTAAGAACGGATAAAGATTTCTTTTTTTTTTTCTTTGTATAGATTTTGGAGATAAATTGCCATTTTTAGTACCAAGTTATTTGTTTTAAGAACAGATAAGACTATAAATACTTTTTAAAATACACTGTGGATTAAAAGTAATTTTTAGAACTGCTTCCTTAAAGGACTGGAAATAAGAAATATTTAGTAAGATTAGAGGAGGAGGAGGAGAGAATAAAAACCTGTATGACAGCTGAACTGATTGTTTATTTAAGTGCTATTCTTTATAAATAATTTTTCATTGAACATCAAATTGGTTTATAGGTCATGCTGATTAAAAAATAAATCAATTTTCCAGTTCTTCACTAAGAAGAGATTTAACTTAAAATGTTTTTTTCAGCTTAATGCCATTATCTATGAATACAGGTGGAGATGTGTTAAAATATACATATTTTTAGTGACTGGACAAATCAACAGAAGAACGTCACCAGAGAAAGTTTGAAAGCTGTGAAAGGTGATTTTTAACTGCATTCTGACAAAAGATGAGTTAATACGGTGTGAGTAGGTAACAAAAGAGAAAGCATCAGCTAAGAAAGAAATGGAAGAAAAAGTACTTTATTCTAACTTAGAACATCTGCGATTTTCTTAATGAGCAAAATTTCCAATACTTATAGGGAACACTATTTCTTAGACTATATATATATTTTTTTTCCATTTTTGATGTTTTTTGCTACTCTCTGTGAAGGAGCATGCAGTTTAACTTGGTTGCTTTCTGTTCTGATCTGATGGAGACTGCTGTGTGTTTATCCAGTCATCTCACTTGAAAAAATATGGACCGTGATGTTCACATCTAATTCTGATAATCTGTTACTAGTTAGGCTTGAAAATGTTGGGTGCCTTTAGTTTCTTGTTGTATGCATTTCTCAATGTTAAACTTGCAAATATTTTCTAGAAATCTTTTTTGTGACTACTTAGATCAATGAGATACATGGACAAACCTAAGCGATCTTCAAATATTTTAATATGAACTGGTCTTTACATTTTTGGTGTTCTACTTAATTGTCACGCGCTGACTACAGAATCTCGGGGGTGATAAAGCTTAGCCCCTCGCACATGCCAGGAGGTGCTTTTTCTAGGGCAGTAGAGGCTTCCTGCCCTCAGGTGCCCTCCTCGTGCCAGGAAGGCCCCAGACTGGGATGCTAGAGCAGGTCCCACTGCTTCTGGTCTGGCTAACAGCAGGACCACTGGCCCACTTTGAAAATGAACTTAGTTGCCTTCGCCGCTGCACTTAGGTAGAGTTAGTCCTTATTTTCATTGAGCATATGGTAAATCATTTTTTTGATAGATGTGATAGATAGATGTGTGGTTTTTAACTTGAAGCTTTTTATTTAATCTAATTAGATGATGTGCTCCTAGTACTTTTTTTTTTTTTTTCTTCCTCTTTCTTTTCTGATGTAAATATTTAGAAAATGGTAACCACAATGTCATCCAAAATGCTTCTGGAATAATTCTATTATTCCAACTGTAAAACTTATGCACAACCAAAAGTAAAGGCATTGGAAGCATTTTTTTTTTCTGGTTCAGGGGTTTTGAATGGGGAAGTAGCTTCCTTGTGTATCTAGCAATCTCATATTTTCAACTGATGTGTTTGTGATTATGGATTCTCTGTTCCTCTTAAGATTCTACTTGCTACCTTTTGGGTGCTCTCTTTGCCCTGGGAGCTGATAGAAGCTGACTGAAGGACATGCATGCAGCTTTTATTCCCCGGTGGATTGTAGTGAGGGCTGTAGCAAGCCGACTGTTACCTCATATCTTTCCCCCGCTATTGCTAAGGCAACAGGGCTGTGATGTGTTCCTGGGGACGAGAGCAGGGGTGCTTGGCTGGCTGGCACTGGTCTGGTCTTGTCTCCACATGGCCAGAACAGGAACCTAATGAGATGAGGGCAAAGCGAGAAAGGGTCCGGGTTTCATCCGTACAACAGCCACAGAGTCCGCTTGGTCCTTTAGGGCAAGAGGGACTGAGTAGCTTCTCATCCTGGGAGACAATTACTAGCTGTAGCAATGAAACAGTGATTATTCCTGCGTCAGGAAACGGGATGTCAGTTCAGCAATCAAAATACTGTAGATCTTTTTGCTACACTAAAACCTGTGGGGAGGGTCCTTAAGTGATGCACTACCTACTTTTTTTTTTTTTTTTTTTTTTTTAAGGTAAGGAACAGGCATGGAAGATGGGTCTTCATATAGCTGACTTCTCATACAGATTTGCATATGTATAAATGTGTGTGTGTGAATATATATGCATTGCATATGAGACTCCTGTACACACATGCAGTTTTGCTAAGTTTTGGAGAAAATAACCTATTTATTGAAGAATAAAAAGTTAAGGATTTTTAGGGATTTTTCTGTAGCTTTTGTGTCATCTTCAGGTTAGAAGAAAGACATGAAAATATTTAGAGCCTAAATGCTTTTTAGCCTTTAAAGGTTTTTAAGTATTTAAATAGTGGGCTTGGATGAACCATTTTTTTGATATTAATTATTTGAAAAAGTAGGTTTGAGAAATCTTGACTGCGTCTGTCTATGTGTGTGGTTCTTATAAATATTTGTGTGTGTCCTTGTGTATATACGTGTATATATACACACATGCAGACAAAATGTTCTCTTAAGGTACAAAAGTGTTGCAAAAGCTGTAATATCATGACTTGAAGTGAGGAATACATGGAATTCTCCCATTTCCTGAGACTTCTGTCTCCCTGTACATCTGGGATATAGTCAGTCTTCAAAAAAGACTGCTGAGGAGATGGCCAACATTGAGACAAACTGCAGTGTCAAAATAGTTCTTCCAGTGTAGTTGGATCATTGACCTCAAAAAATGCTTTCTTATAGACTCTGCTTAATAATGATCCACAGGTAGATTTGCTTAATAAAATACAGAAAAATCTTTCCTCTTCCTTGGACTCATTTAAATGCAGTTTAGGAAGGCCTTACTGGCTAAAATATGCCTTTCAAGCGCTGGTTGATGGATCCTGTTAGCAAATTTGCACACTAGGAACACAATAGAATTAAGTTATGAGCCATATTCTTCTTTGCCTTCACTGAGCTATATAGCAATCTATGTTATGATTCTAATATTAAGGTTACATTTTTATGTAACCTTAAATAGCTATTTCAGATAAATTAATTCCAAGTTAATGTGATTAAGGGGCTTGTAATGATGATATATTAAATATCTGCTGAGTCTAATTTTTCACATATCTCTTAGGAAATTGTGTGTTACTGCCCTTTGGAAAATTGCTGTTGTTGTTGAAGCATTAATTTACTTCATATCATACTTTCAGGATCATAGTCTTATTTCACTATGTATATGCATAAATTGAGATTCCTTTAAATATCAGTCTTCCTTTTCTCTTGTTTCTCCCTCCAAGCATATATGTGTGTATGCATGTTTTATATTTTTATAAATACACACACATGCCTCTGTGAATTCAAGTTCAATGACCTGGATTGTTGTAAGTAAATGCATGGAACTGCAATTGATTTTCTATTATTCAAATGGTCTTAATTTCAAATGTGTAAATGCAGTTGTCCCATTCTTTATAGTTGAATTTCTGTTTTGGAAATTGCAAATGATGCTCTTTTGACATTTTTCATAGTTGTTTTTCCATATAGAGCTGATATGAAGGATGCACAGATGCATGTCGGATCCCATTAGATTTAATGCTGGCAAGGTAAATTTTGGGAAGGACTAGGAGGCAGTTCTGTAAGCACCTGGCTCACCCTGTCACTGAAAGGAGACACACACAAATGGCTAGTAACAAATGTAGACGTCTATAGCAGAGCCATGTCCTCATAGCCTGTCCTGTTCATTGCTACAGGACATCAGGCAGGGGCGTGACTGAATTTTGACCAGCTGTTTGGGCAGAACGTGACAAGTGGTTATTTCCAGTTTGAGAGACTTTGTTATTTCTGAGAGGTATTTACCAGTCGCTTGCCTTTTGAGGAGAAAAATAAGGAAAGGGATTTTATTTTTCTTTTTCAGGTTACAGTATGCTATTTGCGAATATGATTGGACTTATTTTCCCAATTAAAAATTGTTTTATTTTCCATTTACAAGAAAATTATTCAAGACCAGGACATTTAATAAACGAGGCACTTAAATCAGCAAAATGAAAGGAAATCATAATAAACAGGCTTAAATTAAGAGTAGCCACAGTGAAAATATATTCATATATGAGCTGGTTTTCAGTAGGATGTTAATGACTGTGACGGTGTATGGAGTAGTGCACTAGAATTTGAGAGGGAAGATTCAAATCTAGGAAAACTAACCAACAGTTTACCGTAGGTTGAGCAAACCTTAAACAAGATATGGAACCCCAGCATGAAAGCGTCCTGAAAAGATATGACTTTAGCTAAATTTCCATACATTAAAATATCAGGTTTATATAATAAAAAATATCAGAAATACCTGGTATGGTAGCTAAGGATTTTGATTTCATAAGTATACGTATTTTTCCCCTGACTTCTGACACTAAATTTATCTTAAAATACATTTGCAATGATAAAAAATTGTGCCATATTGTGGCCTGTTCTCTGCAGTTAAAGGCAACAGTTCTTCCCTGATTTTGCAGCCTGTGGAGCTAGTGGATTTTTTACATGTTTTTCAGGGCTGAATTGGAAAGTTTGATGAGCAGGTTCTTTGCACTTCGTACTGCTGCTTATTGTGTGTCTGCTTCCTAGGGTGGCCTTAACGGTACTGCCTTCTCTGGTGGGTTTTAATGTGAGGATAAGGAGGAACTGAGGTTAAGTATGATTACAGAAGCAGCTGGAGATGACTGTCTTCCTCATTTTTGCTCTG